CTCTCTCTCTCTCTCTCTCTCTCTCTCTCTCTCTCTCTCTCTCTCTCTCTCTCTCTTTCTTTCACTTCGGGCTTGGCAAAGCTCCGGAAACTGGATCGAAGCGCCGTTGCACAAACGAGGAGCGTCGACGGACGAAACGGCGGCAACGGCGTCAGCCACAGGCACTGCTGCACGAGCGTATATACATAATTAGACGCAATTAAGCGTCCGCCTTATCTGCACACGACGAGAGATCTTTTTCTCCGTTCCCCTTTTTCTCTATTTTCCCTCTTACTCCTCAAGCATGCCGCGCCCGAGATCTCTCGCGGTTTTTCCACCTCGCCGTGAAGATAAATCCCATCGACCAATAAACCCCGCGTTTCAGTGGGCCGCCGCGGTAAGTTCTCCGCACAGTGGGTTGCCGCGTACAAAACGACCAATCCACGTGGCTAGAAGCTCGAAAGTCAATTTTCCAGGAATAAGGATAAGAAAGTAGAATTTACGGGCTGAATATAGGGCAGTTTCGCGGTGACGTTATTACGATTCTCCGCACACGGTTAACGCATAGTATAGCACAATTATTGTAACCGTATCTTTCTCGATCGTTCTCTTCTTTGAGAACATCGCTGGGAAAATATAAGAAATATTAGAGGAAAAACATTTGATGCATTAATATGTAAATCTTGGCCGCGCGCGCACCAGTACAGACGATTGCAAGTGAAAACTTGAAAGGCATATGAAAAATCTATTTAATTTCATCCGCAGATCTCTACATTTCACGCTGAATAAGCAACGACTAAAGCAAAGCGTCCACCGGGACGCATTCCGACGCAGAGCTTATCGGTCGCGCTTCGTTTATCGGTTAAATCGCGTCGACTCCTCGATCGGTGGAGAGAGATTATATCTCGATGCCTCCCGCAAACGTCCTCTAACTTAATCCTTTCGGCGGTTCGTGAACCCTACCTGAGGGACATCCCTCGCGCTTACGGGACGCCAGGTCCGTCAGGCTAATCCGCTTGAATGTACTCACCTTGTTGTGCGGCAGCTGTGTGGGTACGTAGAGCGGCGGATCCAAGCCCGGATTCGTGACGGCGTGACGTCCGATAATCCTGTCGGCCGCTTTCGCGTCGTAGCCTTCCGGCTGGCCGATATGGAAGCCCTTGCTCTTGACCCAGAAGCGGAACTTGCTGTTCTCGGCGCTGTTCACTTCCTCCCCGCGTAAAGTCCGCAAAATACGCGCGTACTTCTTGATGGTGATCGTCTTAGTCTTGGCGAGATCACCATACGTCTTGATCACCCACGGCTGATAAGCGTTGAACATGGCGTCGTTTTGAAATTTTCTTGGTGATGCGGCGGCTCCGTCGACTCCCTTCGGGCCTTGTCCCTTTGGCATGCCATACGCGCCGCCATTCATATTCGGTGACGACATCGTCGAATAAGACATTGCTATTCCCGTCTTTGTGTCCACTGTGGCGGTACCGCCCGCCGCGTATCCGCCATTTAACGAGTTCGCGGCGCCGGAAGCGGCTAAGGAACCACCGGTCATGTTGGAGATGTCGAGGTACGAGACGGACGAGCTCTTACCTAGGTTCGTGGCATTGCCGACGAAGGTCGCCATGGTGGTCGACATGTAGGGAATTGGCGTAGGTGGCATGGCGAGGCTTCCGGCGCACAGACCGGCCGTTTGTCCGCCCGTCAAGCCCAGCCCGGTTACGGAAGCGTACGACGGCACGTCCGACATGTTCGACGTGGTCGGCCAGCTAGTCGAAAGCACGGAATTGTTCGATATATCGTTCGTCGAGGCCGTGTTGGCAGCCGTCGAAGTGGACGATGATTTGGTCTGAGTAGCCGATCTTGAGACGGAAGTTCCGCGACTCTTCGAAATCGGACTATCGGTTGAGATATTCGAAATCGAAGATGCCGAGGACGCTGAGTTGGGACAGCTACTGTTCTTCCCTCCGCTCGTCGAGGTCCCACGGGATTTCTTCGTCGGCGGTTCGTCCCGAGTGCTGTTCATCGAGTTCAAATTGCCATGGGACGGGCTGTTGTTATTCTCGCTTCTCGAGCGTTTGCTCGACGTTCCCGTGGACAGTGATTGGCTTGACGGAGTCGGCGAGCTGTTCACCGGTGCTCTGCGACGTAAACCCATCGTTGTCGCGCTAGCCATACTGTGCGTGTTTACGTGTCGCAACCGAGATTCTGCTCACCGTTATCCTGCGACCAGCACATCGACCCTGCCCAGCACACTTTAAGCACAAGATCATACAAGATCACACTACAGAGATCATCCACGATCACTCGTAACACTGCAACGTTCTCGTACGAGATTCAATAAGTCACTCCCGGCGATGATGGTTTATATCAAGTATTGCCCAAGAAACGACGTTTTCCTTCCGGGAACGACGATAACGTCGCAGTAAGGTGATGTTGCGACCCTGGAAACAAAAGAGGGATGAAATGTGACGAGAAGAATTAGCTATGCGCAATTAAGTGGCGGAAATGTTTAAGAGCGAGGGGCGCCGCTAATGGACTAGCTGAGTGGGTGGAGACTATCACCAGTGGGAGAGGTAGATTATAGCTGCTCGGGGATATAATACGCGGCAGAAATTCACTCGGGAAATTGACTCCCGGCATTTTCCACCTTCTGTCCGATAATAGACGCTCGGCGTGGCAAAACTCTCGCTGTGAAAACTCTCCGTATTAAATGATCAGATCGTTCTCGCTTTCTTCGAGCTTGTATATCGAAAAATTGTAGACCTCCGTTAACACTCAGCGAGCTCGATCATTTATTTTGAAAGCAACGTAAGCAAGAAATTTCGCTGAAATCAGTACGGCCGGATTGCATTTTTTGCATCCATTTCGTTTTGAAACCCGCAACCAGCAGCGTCGCATTAATAAAATTTATGCCTAGAGGCTTATAATCTTCGAGTGCCCCACTCTAGTTCTCATCTCTACTTTACAATAACTTTATAATAAATACAACTCTTTTTGCATATGTCTGACTAAAATCATAAATACACCGACGAGATACTATTAACAGTATTTTGACGATGACAAATATCAACGTTAATCATGTCATTAATCACATTTTGTTAAAAAGATGGCAGCGTCAAGTACGCATACTGTTAAGATGTTATCTATTTCAATGACTTGAATAAAAAATCGTACCACAAATACGATTGATCAAATTAAATAATTTTTTTTTAAAGCTGTACCGCTCCTGGCGTTTTGACGCCCTGTTGCTAGATTATCAAAATTCGTAGTGCTACTCATCATACTTGAATTTCTCACAAAACTATTTTTCTTTCCCTGTGACCTCAATCACAAAAGCTCATATAGGTTCAGCTCAAATAGCGCTATTGTCCGCTACTATCTTTTGAGGTAAACAGTTTCAAGAAGACAATTTAGACACTATTATTATAAACTATGCAAAGAGGATGAACCTTTCTATGAGAGGAAGGACCAATTACTCTCACTTGTACACATCATTCGCTTGAGGTAGAAGCCTCGTGTTTCTTCGTGGATATCACGTTTCATCTCTAACCGCATATGAAGAAATGAGGACTTTTCGCAAGAACGGCATTAAGGATAGTCAACGTCGCTGGCACAATTAGCTAGCAGTTTACACGACGTACTAAACATAGGGAAACCGGTTAGCCGCCGCGACCTTCCTTTCGCGCGTGTTTCGGACTATTTTTACGCCCCGTGTATCTGCATGACCGATATCGAAGTAAAATATAATATACCATCATATGTCATTGAAAGGAAAAAAAAAAAAACACCCCGATGCAGGATCGAACGGTTATTGCTCTCAATCCCCCGCAGCGAAAACTGTAGCGACGGGGCCGGAAAATAATGAGATGTAACGACCTAAAAATAAAGCTACCCCTTCGCACGATTGTCCGTCCCCTCCCCCCTCAGCCCTGAGATATACATCGGGCACCCTTGTGTGAATTGTCACGCCCTCCGACGAACGTTTTATCTCACGCTGCTTTATCTAGGATCGACAAAAAACTTCTGACGATTTGTCTGTGTTCATATGCCGAGCGTAAATTTGTGTAACGAGGCGAGATGTGTTTTCGAGATCACCGCAAATGTATCGAAGTTCACGTACATACTACGGATAAATGCGGTCGAGCGGTACAACCCGCAATCGCGGCGAGTACCTATAAGAGCGGGGAGCTAATTCAATAAGCTCGATCGAACTGTCCATCCACCTTGGGCAGTTCGCTAACGGCTAACGGTCCAAGAGCGACACTTAAAGCCCCCATGGGTCGTAGAATATCAGGATAATCCTCGATATAGCGGGTCGACGAGTCGTTCCATGCACCGTGACGGAAGGATATCAAAATGAAATCTTGTAGAGCTCGGAAACAGCCAATTTTGTCTGTGCAGACTTTGGGCTATGCTAATACGCAAATTGTTGAAAATCGTAGGAGACATTCAATAAGCATGATTTGAGCAAATTGAAATGGCTGCTTCGATAAGACTTTAAACATCACGGAGGAAACAAGATAAAGAATTAAATTTTCCATCTTATACGTGAAAATAACTTGTAAAATAACAGTTTGCGAAATAATTGAAATGCTCAGTATTATTTAACTGATTAATAAAGTAGACTTCAATTTATAGTCAGAAATTATATAAACAAATAAAATTTATATAAAACATTTAATCTATTACATACACAATAATTTTAATACGGAGTTAAATAATTATCAAATATATATATATAGTCGAAATTTTTTATTACTCAAAAATAGATCAGTCTAATATCATTAAGAAACAATATAAAAGTGACAGGTAATAATGAGATGTTTATCATATCCATGATAAAGGCTATTTATTCTAATATCAATAAAGCAGATCGAGATATATTCCTAAATACTCCAGTTTGGATCGCTTGATATACCTCAGCGGGAGAGTCACGCGATGAACAGGCATTGGGACAGATTTCTTATTTTCGCGATTATCGCCCTCGGGAATGTCAATCAGCGAGTCGACTGGTCGACCGACAGACTGGGTTCCCGAGTAAAATGGCAAACCTCTGCGGTTTACGCCAGACAATCGAGAAACAAGCCCGCTGGCGGAAACTAATTCAATGAGGCCGATCGAAGCGTCTAGCGCGGTGGCTTGCATAATGGCCGGACCGCGATGTACGCGATTTCCTTCAATTGTCAGCGAGCCAGAAAGGGAGGGAAGAGAGGGGAGAAAGAGAGAGCGAGAGGAGCGAGAGGGGGGGGCGAGTGAAATGGAAGGCAGGATACGGTCGAAAAGTCACAGTGATACCATCGTCAGATAACCGACATTGTCCTAATACGGAGATACGATCGCGCGAACGTGCGAAAAGGTTTATTTCGAGAGCCGTGATCCCGGAGCACCTTAATTAACGGCTCGATTAAGTACCCATTAACTACCGCGGTCTCATTTAACCCACGCTGCCGGTCCACGAGCTCGTAGAGACGGAATCAATAGGAAGAGACCAAAGGGAGCAAAATTATAGTACGTATCGTAGAATATTTGTGCTCTTTATTTTTAGAAGAGTACGTTCTCTCAACTTATAATAAGATACGAAAATGATTTCCTCACTAGTGTAATGCGATATTTAATAGAAACGGAAAAAATAATATTGAGGATATATTAGGTATATAGTCTCTGCAAAAGTAACTAAAATTGGAAATTTAGACTTTCCGTATATTAAAATGAGCATTATATTTTTATGAAACAGTCCAATAAGATCAATATTTCTTATATATTTAACAGTACAATTTTAATTTAAATGACATTTTTTATTTTGCGTTAATTATTTTTGAAAATTATGTCTATATTTATTTATTTTTATTAAAATAATTTTTAATCCAGAGATTCTAAATCGTCGCCAATTTTCTGCATTATTTTCAAATACACAATATAGAAAAATCTGTAACTTTTTATTGTAATATACACTCTTAAAAATTCGCGCGTGCATGATAAGTAAATCTAAATATTAATAAAGGATAATTAATTTTGAAAAAACGATAAATATCAGGATGTTCCGATTCTCCATAAAATCAAACATTCGTATCACATATTTAAAACTTCACATTCATAATTATGAAAATCTCATTAAAACGTATAACATACACAAGCTTGTTGTTTAGGCTGCAACTTAGGATTGAATTTTCACGAGTGACTGCAGAGTCTTGCGGTCTTCTCTGGAAACGTAGAATTTTAACGTGTCGAGAGAAACTTAATAAGCGTCTAAAGCACGAGGTCGCAAATTAAGTTACCTCGTCGCGTTCCGATTTCGTTGAATACAGCAGTGCGCAAACGCCTCGCTTCGGACGGAAACCCGACGAGGTGAAAAAACTGCGAGAGTCTGCATTCATGAGTGGGTGACCTGATTAGGTTAGCGGCGGACTGCGCTTAGATAACTCGCGACGAACAATCGGACAGACATACCTAGCGAAGTCGAGCGGGTGCGCTCGGGGGTGGAAGGAGAGAGAGGAGAGAGAGATTCAATAAGACCGATCGAACCGTCTCCGTCCGGTACGGACGGTAGTCCGGTATAATGGCCTCGGCGCGCGATATATCCACGCGCTCCTTTAGGTGGCAGAAACGGGGCCCCGGGACAGCGATATGTCTCGGCTTAGAGCCGCACACAAGTCACGTAGTGGCATGGGACCACCACCGAGTATTATAGCGCGTCCCCTGCCGTCCCCGTCGATCCTCCCCTTTACCGCGTCGCTCTGTCTCTCCCTTCTTCTCTCTCTCTACTATATCGCTCTCCTTCTCGCTTCACGCGTCTCTCTCTCTCTCTCTCTCCCCTCTTCGTGTACATATTACTCGGCGTATAATGTGGGTGCCACTTGCACACCGAGCGGCCGGGTGTCACGCTACGTGCTTCCTGCCCGTAGGCCATAGTGCGACAAAAGGCCTTATGTCCGCCCGCTCGTGGGACACTCGTGATCGCAATGTGTAATCAAGCTCGCATGGCCACTGTATTACCACGTACGCCCACCCGTTGTACGCGTGCATACGCAGCAGTTTCGGTTATCCGTTTCCCGCGCAGGACACTACCGTCCTGCCGCTCCACCTCCTTCTCCACCCCTTCGTCCTTGTCCCACCCGCCGATCGGTTTCGTAACGGCGGTGTCTCGCAGCCACTGATCGCTGGCGAATTCGCGGC